TGATCATGAAAGTAATGCTGCTCTACTAATGCTTAGATAGACGCTGGGTGAACAGTGGCGGTTTCCATAAGACCTATTATTTCTTAAGTTTAACCATATTCTTAAAAGTAACAGAAGAGTCACAGCTGACCTCTAATACCTGCATATTCATTGAGAATTCAGGGCAAATTGCCTGTGTCATCATAGTAAAGTATGAGACAGAATAAATGGGGTGTAAAAAGCAATGAAATTAACAACCATAAACATCTTGTTAAAGCCTCCAGGCTGTTTTCTAGCAGTAAGTGCCAATAAAAGAATACAAGAAGGCAGCATCTGTCCTAGTTTTGTTTCTCCTGTGTTCGTATTCCACTTCAGCTTGAGTTTGTCAGAAGTCACTGCACACAAGTGGATCCAAAAGTGTGTTTTTGAATGAGCCGTTTGAGCAGATGGAGAGAGGACAGTCATCCTTTTTGTACTATTTCTGCCCAAACCACAAAGCCAGAAGTCATAACATAACACCACCTCCTCTGTAGTGGTGTCGTTGGTGTAGCCTTAAGCTTCCTGTGCATGAGCATGAGAAATTCTCAAAAAACTGAAATATTCAGAAACAAAACCTGGTGTTGTTTTCATGTGCTATTCACTCGCATTAAAGATAATTCAATTATCACAGTATTTAGGTCACACAGTTTATTAGTCTCCCGCGGGATGGCTGTAGCCATCTTCCGTTTAAGTAACTGCCTAAAGCTAAATTCATCACTTCACACCTGCTCCAGCTGCATTTGCACAGAGAGACGAATGCACTGTGCATTTGGAGCACGCTCTGAACGGTTTTATGACCAGCCATGATGCAACTAATCAGGAGCTCAATTTGCAAAAAAAAAATACTTTTTTTTAGGATGAAAAAAAAATCCACTGAAGGTTTCCTGTTCCACAAAACAAACTACAACACCAGCCTGCCTGCTCTGCAAACCCTTTCTAAACAAGTAAGATCAGTGGTACTTTTTTTCTTAAGAAATTTGACGAAAAGTGTCAATCTAGAAGCAGCTACTCCAAAAGCACATCATCACAACGATCACATGCATCATCTTCATGACTCAGATATGCTTACATTTTGTAAATTTTGGCTTTTTGTGTGCGCTTTTTTTGCCTGTGTTAAATGGTTCATTCAGAAGGATTTTGGTTTACATAATTTTTCTACTGAATGCCCAGCTGCTTTCCTGTTGGGTGATGTCAGCTGCTCTTGCTAAATGTCTTTAATAAAATGCCCCACAATTGGACAATGGACATCCACTTTTTAACCTTTTGTTAAACAGTAAAGGTAGAAGTCAAAGTATTATTCTTTATCAGAGCAAATAGCCCTTACAGGTTACCCTAGCCTATTAAAAAATTCTTTCCTTGGAGCCTGCTGTCCAGGCAGCTAAAGTCATGTTAACAAGTGCCACGATCAACAGGGGAGCTACCGTTAGCATGTGGGACTGATAGGACACTCAGGTTTCTTCATATCAGAGTAAGCATGGCAGACACCTGGATGATTTTGAGGTAGTACTGGGCGGGTCCTCTCATCCACATTGGCTCCAAATTTGGAGGGGTGGCCATGCACATGAGCTCAGTTAACCTTCGTATAGCTAAGGCACTGAGTCTGAGTTAGCTTTTAAACAGAAGTCAGTGCATTTTAGTGTCAATCCTGTAAGTTATAAGTGCAAAGGTGTATTTTATTCTATAGTAAACAGACATTTCCTTTTTTTAAAGTTGGTTTAAAATAATTTAGTGACGATTCTGGTGGTTTTACTTTGGGTTAAGGCTAATAATCGTTTTTTCTCTTTTTATATATATTACTATATGTATATTACTGCAGGCGTTCTTCTCCGGGCTGGATTAGTAAGGATGCTATTATTACTTTAAGCAGAACATAAAAGGAAAGTGGAGAAAGGAGGGTGAGAACTACAATGTGCTGCTACCTTGCCTGAAATACACTCGTGCATGTGTGTCTGTTTATTCCTTGCCTCCCTTTAGTTGTAATAACAGCACTGACTCATTGGCCACTAACATCACTTCTTCTCTGATCATCTGCAAAACACCACAGAGCAGCAGTGACTGGCTATCTGCAGGCCACCACCTCGGATGTCAGCGCCTCTCTGCTTCTTTTTTGGCACTTCACAGAGCTGATTGTTAGGCGAAAGGTTTGATTTCAAAGGTGAACCGAACCGAGGCAGTGATCGCAAACAGATCCCATCTGCAAGGGTGCTTTGAAAACAGATGGCAGCATTAAGGATGAAGCTTGGATGTAATTCTAAGCTGCTCCAGAGTTGCTTTAGGATCATGTCTTCTTATTTGGGGTATTAAAAACATTATTAAGTCAATAAAGAAAACATGAGACAGCTCTATGGCAAACTTTGTCTGTGCATGTACTGTAAACACAGAGTACGAGGGAGCTCTTGCATTTTCTAACATAGAAACTGCATCCCACAATTAAACCTTCATCACCACTATCATCTACAATCAAAAGAAAACATGCAGCGAGTGTCTGATAACTGAAAAATCCAACTTCTTCAGGTTAAACGATCCAAACTTCAACATCATCTGTAGGCAATTTGAAGCACTGATTCTTAACTGATACTCAGTTGAGCTGTGGGCTAAGTAATCACATATGATGAGATCCATTTCAATGAGTGATGTGAGCAAAATTTACCCTGTCACATTCTGTTAATCCTCGACTCAAAGCGAGCCCAAAATGAGAAAAGTGTAAAGTGCTCATGTAAATGACTTAAGATCAAGCCCATCTTGATTGTGACTCTTTTATTTTAAATATACAGGATCTGGAAATTACACTGCGCTGATATTACTCTTATGATGTTACGGCTCCCTAGCTGGAATAAGTAAGAAAGTCTGTGCTAAAAATCCAGCTGAGAAATTCATCCAGGGCACATTAAGCTTCTGCCTTTGGCTTCTTCTGTGCTTCATATGATTGTAAAATACCGGACTCCATTCAGAAGTCTGAGTGAGTTACATGTTATGCATTTTGCAGGACTTTTTGTGTAACATAATTTTGCACAAATTAAGAAAAACAGCAAACCCTATTTATTTAAAATAACATATAGTACTGTGCAAAAGTCTCAAACTAGCCCTCATTTCTTCAGAGTTTATTAGGAAAATGACAAATAGGTGCAGGCATTTAATTAAAACATGCGACATGCACGATAATACAACATAAAACACCAAATTCTGACATTGTCTTAAGCAGCTTAACAAGCAAATGAAAATGATAAGATACAAGACTTTTGCACAGTACTGTAAATGATTTTTTGTTTGTTTAAAAGAAACTGGGGACTTTGTGATGTACAATAACAGCCACCTGCCAGTGTAGCAGGAGTAAACCATGAAGACAGGAGGCTGACTAAAAGAACGACTTAAGACAAAAACCACGCGATCCAGCAATGCCAGACATTCCTCGGTTTCATTTTGAGAATTATAATTTTTGTCAGTGTAGTAAATGAAACATGATCTCCATGTGACAGCTAACACTGGCAGATGACTGCACTCCATTGATCGTTCTGTTCCCCGATGAATTGAGGTCAAATCTCGGGGCTGAAACCACAGAATTGAATATGATGTTATATGAAGTATTAGCTTGTGGTTTGTGTTACAGGGACACAAACATGCTGTCACGTTGGGATTGCTGTGGATCAAATCCCTTCGGTGCAACTGGGTTCGCCTGCAGGTGCGGCACTGCCTGCCGCTCCCAGGAGTAGTTACTGTGCAATACGAGCTTGTCTACATAATGACAACAACAACAGCAGCTTTTCCCATGATGGAACTAACTGTCATTTCTCGTACTAAAAATCAAATAAAGTACTACTAATGCTTGGGCTATGCTTCTGGTTTACAGCTGTAGTATATTACTATCGTGTGCAGTCTTTTGGAGTCTACATATCACACTCTACATAGAGTGTGATCCACCTAAGACTGATCAGGTGATTGAATTGTGGAGTAAAGTAATCATATGCCCAAATTTGATATGTAGCTACCTCATGACTAATGCATAGAATTGCCTTTTAGAAAATCAGTTTCCTTTAACACTGCTGTGCTCAGTCCGTCTGGCACGCTGTCTAAGATGACTGATTTGATTTTACTCCAAACTGGCGGCTGCTCTGTGATGTTTCATTACAAGCTGCACCTCTACGTCAAACGTCAAACTCCGCCGACACAGTTGCAGCTCCAGAAATTCCACATATGGAGTTTTTCCCATAGTTTATCAGCTACATTAGATTGACAGGTTATGCCTTCGAGTCAAATGAAAAATGAATACTCGGCTTGTTATGTTTGTCTAGGCGCACTGATTTGATAAGCACCGGATAATTTACTGTGTCTCGCCTGATAGTTAACATGATGTATGGGAGTACGGCGGAGGGAAGAGGAACGAGACAGAGACAGATGACAGCAAGAGCAGATGTGTCTTAAATGGTTTGGTGAGGACACTCATAAGGATAATGGGATTAAAAAATGCATAGGGATTTTTTTATAAAAAAGATGAGGATTTAGGTGATTTAGGTACATTTAATTTTTTTTAATTTAATATATATCATTTCAAATAAATTATATTCAGGTTGCTTTTAAAAACTGGAGTTTAAAGGGAGACTTTTGTGTACATTTTTACTTCTACTGTATATTTTGGTCCTAGGACTCCACTGGAACACATTTGCATTAGACACAGTTTTAGCTCCTGCCTCTTTAAGGCCACCCCTCCCTTAAAGCACAGTTTAATCTGATTGGTAGCTCCTCACCTGGCTTTCACAAACAGAATCCAGTGCTAGCAAGCTAGACCTCCTTATCTCACCTGAAATGACCATAGAAGGAGACCTACAATGAGCAGATTGAGCTGAAACTTGATTGATTAGATCAGTTTAGAGGGTTTACTTTGTTACAGTACAAATGCGAAAGAAAAAAAAATCAGGTTAAAGCTTCCCCACTTAAATGTTATTTTAGATTGCTTTAAGAAAACCATGAAATCAAAAGAAACTCACCCTGGCAAAGTGCTCGGGGTCTCTCAGAAAGACCGTCCTCTCCTTGGCGATGCTGTTGCTATGGTAGAAGTCCACCAGCTCGTTCAGAGAGGAGAACGCCTCGTCCCACACGTAGTACTGACTACAGCGATCCTGCAGTACCTTGAAATGCTGAACATGATCCCCATAACTGCAAAGCAGGTAAACAAAGAGACGCAAACGATCATAAAACTGAGTATCTATGAGGATATGTGCTTCCTCGCAGTAGCATACCTTAACTAATGAGTTCCATTTTTTTTGCCATTTTGTTAGCTAACAATAAAAAAATACAAAATCATGAGAAAATCCTTATTTTGTTCCTCTTGATAAATCTTAATTTTGCTCATTTCTTTCTCCCCTGGTCATCCACAACACCACCCTGCAGTGGCTCCATGCTCACAAACACTGAGAATCACTGCCACAGCCAGTTTCCCTTTATTGGATTAAACTTCATGGAAATGAAATCTATAAAACACACTGGGCAAAATTCCCAAATCTCATTAAAAGTTTGAATATTTACTATTGTTTATATGGGACAAATTGCATATATATATATATATCTGCAACAACACGGGTCATTTACTCAAACAAAACAAACAAAACGATGACTTGTTAACTGTGTTGACGGTGCTTGGGCTCAATTTAAGGTCTATTGTAGGAATCATGGCTGAATAATCCTGCTTTTTAATCATGTACTCTATTGTCAATCTCAAGGTCTCTTTATTTTTCGTTTAGTTTATTTCTGTTTGTCTTACAGTACATCTGGACCAACTATTTCTTAATAGTCTTAATGTTTAGCCTGCAAAGCCTCCTCCCAGATGTCAGCTGCTGATTGGACAATGGATTTAGTGCATTTCAATTTGCCTCTAAAATCAGTGCAGTGACCTCTGCTTGGTATTATACTTATTGAAGTTTTATTTTTGGTCAGACTTTATTTAACGAGCAAGAGAAACGCTTGAGATTACAAGTCTCTTCCGTAAGAGTATCGTGTCCTCGCACAGGCAGAATTAACCTTGTGTGTTTTTCATTTTGAGCCGGAAGCTGTGCCCGAGTCCAAACCCAGGACCCTGGGTTGACTTAAAGCTGTTGAAATAATGTGAAAACAGACAAGCTGTTACAAAGAGAAACCCAAACTACTGTGGAAATATCTAACGCAGTCAGTTTCTCAGAATTCATAAAAGCAGACAATGACATTTTCACAGACTGCTCTGTGGGTCTCATGTCAAACAAACCCAATACCCCTTAAATTTAAATAAATGTGGTTTAGATGCTTTGTAGCACAAAATCAGCAACATTTTTAGACAGATTCTGATCAAAGCCAAGCAAAGCAAATGACAAATAATAATAAAATAAAGCCATAAGTGGCACGAACAAAAATAGCCTTGGTGTTGAAGAGCTTTGCCTTGTTGTTATAATTAGAAGAGTTTGGCCAGCATTCATTGACAATCATACCTGCTCCCCTGTCCTGGTCTGCGGTGGTTGCTAAGTAACTTCCCAGCTTATCTTTAGAAATCTGGACATCTCACCGTGATTACATGGTTACATAACTGCATCTAACATGCAGCGGAAATCAGTGCAACACCCCCATATTTCTAAACACATCGCAGAGTAGGTGTGTGTGTTAATGTTATGTTAATGATTGCTAAAATATCACGTCGGTGGTTAAAGAGATAGCCAACATTCTCTCTCCCGTTTCTCTTCTAGCGCAACGTCATCGGTGCGGATGGAAATACCGCCATTGAATGATGCATCCTAATAAGCGAAAAAGCACAATGTGGGATCTCTTTTTGGGGGGATTTGTGGTTTAACCTTGCTCGGCTCCTTCTGAATCGCGTCTGATTGGCCGTGCTCCAGGCTCGCGGAAAGTAAATGAGCATCGGCTTTTTTTCACCCAGAATTCCTTTCTCTATTCAGACACTGTGCTCCTGTGAACAAGCATAGCTGGCTCCCTTATGACTGGATGGCATTCAGCTACACCTCCACCCTGCCCTTCTTTCTCTGCCTTCTCTTTTTCTCCAGCCTGTGTGTCCTTGTTTCTCTCCTCTCACGATCTGACTCCCAAAACTGAGGATTTTATTTTGCAGGAATATTAAATTAATCAAATGTATCTTTCTAAAATGACAGCCTACCAGCATGTGAATATTAACTCGTTCTGTATGACCAACTTTTATTTTGCCCACAGGTCTGGCTGGCTTCAGCTATTTTGGTACCCTGTGCGAGGGTTTGAGGTTTGGTGAATAAACTCTGAGGAAAATTTCCGAACAGCCAGAAGCAACAAACACAACTTCACCTTGAATTAATGTTTAATCAGGTCTTAATTACATTTAATTTCGGTGACTCTTACAAACAGATCTGTCTGTGCCCCTCTGGTAACACACGAACACTGTGTTTTATGCTGTAGTGTTCCTAGACCAATACTGGGGTGGTAATGTTCATGAATTGCTACTTAAAGGCCACAATTTTTTTATTATTGTCATATTGTTGCCATATCATTGCTGTCAGTGCAGACAATCACCTCTTAATCTCAGTTCTTTCTAACTTTTCTCTCTTTATCTCACTTTGTATTCATTGCCTCTCTTAATTCAGCTTTACACACACACGCACACGCACACACACACACACACACACACACACACACACAAAGCACAAAACTGTGGTCTTCTGTCAGAGTAATCTTCATCGGCCCCAATAATCTCCCAAGGTGTCTGGCGCCCTCTGCTGCACCCTACTGGTGGGGCTCTGTAACTGCCACCAGCTCTGCAACTGTGCAGCAGCTGCTTGTCTGAGGGAGCAAATCGCACAATAAGCCCCTGCTGGATAACGAAGTCAAAATAAGTAAGGGGTGCTGTGAGAGGTGAACAGAGACGAGAAGATTTTAAAACAGGATGTGAACTCAACACGGACTTTCCCTCGAGGGGATTCACAACAATGTAAAGCACAATTAAACACATAAAACAGATGGAAGAAAAGAAGAAAATAAGGTAATATTTGAAGTTATTCTGCACCCTCTACATCCTTCTCAGTAGTAGTTTGAAATTTGAAAGAGAAAATTTATTTTCAGGAAATTTAAAAAAAAAGTATTTTCAGGAAAAAGAAATCAATAGAAAACGAAAAAAAAAACCAAACTAATTTCAGTTTAGCTTTGGAATATTAATGTGAAACTGGCATCTATCATTAATGTTTGACATGCCCAGCCCCTCCCTCACCGGAAAAAGTGCCCATGCAAGTGACCAGAAGCTAGCTAAATACTGGCTGAACATTAAACCACGCTTGATGCTAAATTTACCCTGCCATGCAAAACACAACCACACATCAGTATCAGGAAAGAGGTAAAAAATATAATAACGCAGTTTGAGACCTACTTTGAACACAAATCATGAGAAAACTAGCCTTAAAAACTATTTAAATACTATTTTTTGCTGTATCGCAATGGCAACACACCTTATTCAGAATGAAATAAACCATAATCTAGAGCTGAATACTTGTATGTAATCAAGAGGAGAATGCATGAGTAATGTAGCTGGAACAATATTCGGCGATGTCATACTGATGGTTTTATCAATTATGACGGTGAAGTAGAGACAGTAGGGAAGCAGTTTGCTGTAAGAGTGCAGACAGCATCTGTCTCAGCTGGATCGCTCTCTCGCACACACACATACACAAAGCAGTCTCTCCAAGTGCCCTCTCATCTCTCTGATCCAGTGTAATTAAGGCCCACAGCGATTGAGAGATTATGCTCTGTTTCCGAGTAAAAGGAAATGAGAACGAGAGCAAGAATCTAAGAATGAGAGTGAGAAAGATTGAAAGACAGAAAATGAAATAGATTTAGAGATAGAACTCAGAGTCAGATATACTGTAGATGAGGACAGCAGTTACATTTCAGACTTTTGCTCTGCGCCAGCGCTATTGTGGGTGCTCAAAGGTCGTCCGACCATCTTTCTCTCAACTTCCCCCATCAATCTATTCTCACTTCCTTGTTCTTGCTGTCTCTCTCATTCTGCCAGCCCTCTTGTCTAATCTGCTGTTCAGTTTCTAAACCGCTGCAGATGTCTGGACTACTTCACACAGTCACACTAACACCTCCGGTCGACAGTTTTTAACTCTGTGTGTGTGTCCATGTGATGCAAATTGCTGATTATATCATGTTTTTGTGCCAGCTAGCGTGCATAACCGTCTGCCGTATTACATGTGTTGTAGGCCGTCATGCACACACATTTTGACCACCAGTGCGTGCATGTTTTAAAGGAGCGTCCTTGCATGTCAACCAGGCATGTCAGTGAGTGAGGGAGGGGGGGGGGGTTCAAACCGCTTGCGGCATTAATAAAGCATAGCCAGTTTTGATAGATGGCTGAGGAGATAGGAAGGAAGTGTGACCGTCTGTGCTCTGAGGGTGCAGAGCGAGAGATGTGATGAAGCAGAGAAGGGGAGGAATGATAAAATATGTTTTGGTGGAGGCACTTTAATCAAAACTGTGTTGACTTAGTGGGCTGAATATTTCTACTGCATATTTAAGTCATTCGCGTCCACCTGAAACTTTGGGAAAGCGCTCATACCCCTTGACTTCAATCATTTTTTTAAAAATCAAGTTCAAACTGTTTACTTTCAATTTTTTTGTCTGTGTGCAAAGTGGAACAATGCAAGCATCCAAAATAAAACCAGGATTGTTGGAAAAGCAGCGCTAAAAATTCCATGCTATGCTTAACAGCAGTTGGGCAATACTAACGATGCTTTTCTCATTTTGGATGTTTGTTAAACGTGTATTCTGTTTTTGGCTTCCTTTTTTGTTTTGACCTTCTACATGAATAATTAAAAACAGCAGAACTTGCCATCCTAAGGTGACAGAAACTGTCAGCAAGCACTTCTGCTGAATGAGTCATGTTGGTCACAGGAAAAGTCTCCAACGAGCAGGCCTCTTTAAGCAGAAAGCTCAAATGACACCACTGTCATGATGCTGTCAATAGATTTACAGATCTATGTCATGTCTTAACTTTTCATTAACTTTGTTCACCTTAAATTCAATAACATTTTAAAATTCTTAAGTAATGAGACTTTTGCGATGCTCTGTGATTTCTTGAGTTCAAGCTTTTTTGTGGTACATTTATGTTATGATTGAAAATCTTTTCAATTGGAGTCTTTGGAATTTGGGGAATA